TATTGTCTCAAAGAAAAGTTAAAACCAAAATGTCTTCCCATTAATTCTTCAATCATTGCTATGGTCTAGATTCATAAGCACTTGTTATCATATGTGATAGGTTATATTATTCTTCCCAACCATCGTTCTCATGTACTATAAATTGATGCTCCCCCATCCCCAAAATCCATGTCCTTTGTCTTTTTCCTTGTAACTTCCCATGCCTCACTAGGTGGGATACACCATCCTGTCACATCATCAGCTTGCTTAAATGATTTTATTTGGCCAATAGAATGTAAATAAATGTGATGTATTCCACTTCCGAGCAGAAACTGTAATTACATTTGGATGCTTCAGTTTGTGCTCTTATGCTCATGTCTCTGCTATGAGAACAGCACTCCAGATAAAGGCAGCCCTTTTAGCCTGGCCCCCTTCACTGTGGATGTAAAGATATGCAGAGCAGACTGAACAGACTTAAACAACGTCCACTAGAGCCATTATTAACTGACACACCCACGAGCCAAAAATAAATGTCTGATGTTGAAAGCCACTGAGACTTAGGGGATGTTTGTTACCCCAGCAAAAATGATTAATCGACCATAACCACTAAAAAAAAAAAAAGAATTAGTGACTCAAGTTTGTTCATAGAAAGAATGGAGAAAGGTGGCATTGCAAACCTGGGTAGAGATGAAAGAAAAATAAAGCTAGACGAAGCTTTGATATTACATTGATGTTTCAATGACGTATTCTGCTACTCACCCACTCTGAACACTGGACACCATATTAATTTTCTACTGGTATTTAAAAATTACCTCCAAACTTAGCAGTTTAAAATAATGAATATTTATAATGTCACAGTTTCTGTGGACCAGGAATCCAGGTGTGACTTACCTGCATGTCCTTCGATCAAAGTCTGTCATGAGGTTGCAGTCCAGCTGTCAGCCAGAGCTGTGGTCTCATCAGACTGAGGTTGAAAAGAGAAGATCTGGCCGGGCGCGGTGGCTCAAGCCTGTAATCCCAGCACTTTGGGAGGCTGAGGCGGGTGGATCACAAGGTCAAGAGATTGAGAACATCCTGGTCAACATGGTGAAACCCCGTCTCTACTAAAAAATATATAAAAAAAAAAATTAGCTGGGCATGGTGGCACATGCCTGTAATCCCAGCTACTCAGGAGGCTGAGGCAGGAGAATTGCCTGAACCCAGGAGGCGGAGGTTGCGGTGAGCCGAGATTGCACCATTGCACTCCAGCCTGGGTAACAAGCGCGAAACTCAGTCTCAAAAAAAAAAAAAAAGAAAAAAGAAAGAAAAGAGAGGATCTATTTTCAAACCCATTCACATGGTTGTTGCAGGACTTGGTCTTCTGCCACATGAACTTCTCCATAGGGCTACCTTACAAGATGTCAGCTGCTCTCCCTCAGGGCTTGTGATACAAGAGGGAACACAGAACACTCAAGATGAAAGCTGCAGTCTTTTATCATCTAATCTGAAAAGTGATAACCCATCCATTCTGTCATATTCTATTCATTAGAAGTCAGTCAATAATTCCAACCCACCCTGAAGGGGAGGGGATTACACAGGGACATGGATACCAGGAGGCTGGAGTCATTGGGGTCATCTTAGAGGCTGCCTCCCAGAGACACAGCACTTGAGCTCTCTGAGCTGTGATTTCTCAACTTGTAAAATGATGTTACTGTACCTACCCTGCTTACCTAACAGAATTCTTATAGAATCAAATGAGAAAATATATTTACATATATAAACCATAGCATATATGCATAACTATATGTATATTCTATAAAGCACTATACAAATATAGATGCTTTTGTTAGTCTGGGTTTTCTGAGAAGTAAAACCCCAGATGGGATTAAAGTTACAAGGATTTTATTAAGGGAAATGTCTGTGAGAAGAAATAAGGAGGGAGCCTGCATGGATGAGGGCTGGGTAGAGGGAAGGGCAGGGGCAGGGCTGGGAGAACTGTGAGATATCACTGATCCTAATGTGAGATAAAGGCAGGAAGGAGTGTTGACGGGAAGCTGACCAGACCACCATGCCATCTAAGGAAAGTGGCAAGGCTTATCGGGGCACCCTCAAACCACAGCAGCCCATCAAAGGAATTTTACGTCTCCCAGGAAAGGGTCTGTCTTAGTATCCCTGACACACTCAGTCATTGGCTGAGAACAGCCCGGGGGAGGTAGGGCCTTGGTGCAAACATAGTGATGCATTCTATCTCCTTTGTAGATCCCATTCTCATTTTCATTGCTTGAGTTCTAGCTTGTCATTTCTAGTATTTCTAGGTCTTGAATATAGACCATCCTGAAACTGAGGAAAGGTGTTCTCTTTCTGGGTCCACAAGGGGGCGTAGTTTTGAGGGCAAGAACTTCTGAGCACCATGCCCATCTCTCTTCATCTGGGAGATTTAATGGTTTATGTTTGAATTTTGCTGGCGCAGGAAGAAACTAAGAGTCCATCACCCCAGCAGAAGTTCTAAGGAACTCCTTTCATTGGCCTGGGGTCTTAGAGGAGGTGGGGGTTCCTCCCAGGCTAAAAGTCCCCTTCTTCCACACCCCTTCAGAGTTCATGTTTGGGTCTCCTTCCACAAACACTCCCTTCGAGGAAACCATCTTCCTCTCTCCTGGATTTTCCCTCTGAAGTCCCCTTCCACACTCTCTCGTGGAAGCCTGTCTTCCCCTCTCCTAAACTCCATCTCTCTCTATTGCCTTCCACTCAGGGTGGAAGCTGCTTTCCTCTCCTGGATTCCATCTTTCTGGATTCTCTGACTCAGCATGAGAGTCAGCTGTTTCTTTCTCTCTCCTTCTCCTGTTTCTGTCTGTCTCTAAACAAATCACTTTCTGCAAACATTTTTGAGTCCAGCATTTACTGTGCACTGTGCCATGGTCCCCATTCTCATTCTTGAGAGGGCAGGAGACCAAGAACCTGGAAAAACATCCTCTCAGGGGAGCTGAGGGCACCGTGAACCCCTGAACCGCAATATGACATTTCGGCGAGCCAGCCAGGAGAGGGGTACACCAGGAGAGGGTATGCCAGAAAGAGGGGTACAGCCAAAGAAGACGACTTCAAAAGTGTGAGTAAAACCGGCCCCATTCTGTTCTGTCTCTTTAGGAACACTTGAAGCGGCCACAGTCAGGCAGGGCTGTGGGGAACCAGAGCAGTGGCACCTGGGAAGCACGCCGAAGCCCCTCTTAAGCAGCACGGCCCAGACATAATTAAAAGCACAGTTTTTTTTTTTAAACCTCCAAGCTCTCTCTCTGCTTTCCGTCTCCTTCTCTATCCTTTGGATATTATCTCGGGGACCAAAACCTGCAGGAGCCTGTGGGGTGGAAAGGGTGAACACCCACGCTTTCTGCTCCTTGCAGGCGGGGACAACCCAGCCCCGGGGGAGAGGGGGGAACCCAGCATGCAGATGTTGGCCAGAGAAAAACAGTGGGGAGGGGCAAAGCACAGCCGGAGCCTACAGGGGACCAGGAAGGGCGGCGGCCTGGAGCATGGTTCTAGCAGGCCTCTCCAGCATTCTCCAGTCCCAGGCAGCAGGGTAAAAAGGCTTCCCAGGATGCCAGGGTCCCTGTGTGGGCAGCGGCTTAGGGAGTGGCCCAACCACGCATGTGGTTCTGGCAGGGTCAACATGGCGACTGAAAGCCGTGGGGGTGGGGAATCACTGCAGCCCAGCAGCAGCTCTGAAGGAGGCGTTTTTCCTCTGCTGGTGCAGGTGAGGGAAAGGAAGCGGCTGATGGCCGTCAGCCCGGCCCTGCTTTTAGGCAGGCCACACGGCCTCAGGATGCAGCATTCTCATACAAAATGTGGCTTAAGAAAGCTTTCTGCCTTCCCTTAATGCAAGTGACCCGTATGCATAGTTGGTTAAGGTGTGGGGCCTGCAACTTCAAGGTTACTGGTTCAAATCCTGGGGGTAGGGGGGCCGGGGGGCCAGTCTTGATTTGGGGAAGTCTTGGGGAAATTCAGAAGCTGAAGGCTATGGCTATGGGACTTTGTGTTTGGTGTATAGTTTGTCTTGCTTAAGATTGGCTCTCTCTACAGCAGAACTTTTCCATCTGGAAGATGATAAACAGTGAGACCTGCCATTGACTATTTGGGCCCTAGAAGCGGTTGACTATTCTCCATTCTACAATGGAAAATAGGTTAAGGGTGAGTAAGCCCAGGTCCTGAGGGTGTTGTTCTGGCCTCAGCCCTGCCTGGCCTGCCTTCTTTGAGCTGTGTGCTCTAATGGCCCCTCCCTAGAAGTTTACCTTCTGGGGCAGTTTTATAAATTGGCCTGTGTAAATTGGACTTGTGCTGGGAAATATTGGTACCCATCTCCTGAGCCTCACTGGCCTCATCAGGGCTCATTGGTATGTGACTACCCAACCCAATGGCTCCTTTTGTTCCATGCCTCTATGGTAGTCACTGGAGGTCCTGCAGGCAGTGAGACTGGTCCTATGACACTGGTAGGTCGTGATTCACATCCAGTACATAGGATGCCCTCTGATAAGATGGATCACACATCTTGGGCACATGAAGTTTCGGGTTACTGACTGAAAGACGTTTCATTTCAGTACCTGTTTTAACCCAAGAGACGCCTTAGGTCGAAGCGGCTGTAATTTCTTTAACCGGGAATGCTGACATTTCTTGTGTTCGATTTCAGATGGGTGCCAATCTTCCCAAGCTCAGGTCCCCATTAAAATGTATACTGGAAAATGGGGACCAAGTTGACACAGAGTCTTTAAGGAAGAAGTGGCTCATTTTTCTCTGCCAAATGGCATGGCCAAATTACCCTCTGCCAAGTGGAAAACCTAGCCTCCAAAGGGAAGGGAAGAAAACCCAACAGCTTTCCTTGAGTGATTGTGGGAGGCTTTAAGAAAGTACACCCCCCATCACCAGACTCCACTGAGGGTCAGTTAATACTAAAGGACAAGTCTATTACTCATTCAGCAGCAGATATCAGGTGGAAGCTCCAGAAGCTGGCTTTGGAACCAGAGCAGAGTCTAGAATCATTACGGAACCAGGCAACCTCTGTGTTTTAGAATAGAGACCAGGAGGAACAGGCTGAAAAGAACAGGAGAGACCAGCCCAAGTCACGGCCTTCAGGCCAGCAGACCCCAGGGGCTCAAATGAGGGAAAGGCTCGGGTTAGCCTCCAGTCTGGCAGAACTTGTTACCAGTACAGTCTGAAGGGACATTTTATAAGAAATTGTCCCCAGAGAATGGATCATCATCTCGTCTGTGCCCGCTGTGCGAAGGGAGTCACTGGAAAGCACACTGTCCCAGGGAATGAAGGTCCCCAGGGCCTGAGGTATCTGACCAGATGACCCAACGGCAGGACTAAGGGTGCCTGGAGTAAGTGCCAGCATGAGCCATCACCCTCACAGAACCCCGGAGAAAGCTGAGCATGGAAGTCCAGGAAGTTAATCTTTTCCTGGACACTGCCTGGCTTTCTCAGTATTTCTCTTCTGCCCTGGAGACTTGGTGCTTGGTTTTTTTTTTTTTTTTTTTTTTTTTTTTGAGACGGAGTTTCGCTCTTGTGACCCAGGCTGGAGTGCAATGGTGTGATCTCGGCTCACTGCAACCTCTGCCTCTTGGGTTCAGGCAATTCTTCTGCCTCAGCCTCCCGAGTAGCTGGGATTACAGGCACGTGCCACCATGCCCAGCTAATTTTTTGTATTTTTAGTAGAGACGGGGTTTCACCATGTTGACCAGGATGGTCTCGATTTCTTGACCTCGGGATCCACCCGCCTCGGCCTCCCAAAGTGCTGGGATCACTGGCTTGAGCCACCGCGCTTCCCTCAGACTCTCCATCTCTAGGCCCATCTTGGGAAGGACCATTTTCTGTTATTCTGTCCACTCCTACAGCAGTTAAGGTGGTGGGAATTGACTTGTGGATTCATCACACTCGGCTGAAGCCTTGGACACCTCCTGAGGAAAGTCAGAGACCCTCCGCTCTGCAGCCTGAAGATCCAGGAGACAACCCTTCATCCACCTGCAAGCCCTTAGAGGATCTACCTCTGCTTTTCCAACAAGATCCTCAGGGAAGTAACCACGCATCAGTCTAATTTATATCCTGGCATTAACAGGACTATAACCCTCAACCTTGATATCTCTCGAACTCTGAGCATCCTTTTCATAGTGGGAAGGGAACCTGCCTCTTTCTAGGAAAAATGCTGCTATTTTGTAAACCAGTTAAGTATTGTTTTAAACATAGAACTCAGGAATCAATCAAACACAGGGCTAAAAATCTTCCAAACACAGTACTGTAAAGCTTAACAACTGACTGTCCTGGCTCTGCTCTCCTAGTCTCGTTTATAACCAGTCTATATTTGCTGGCCTCTGGGCTTTTCATCTTTAACCACCTTGTCACGTTCATTTCCTATAGAACCATAAGGTCACGAATAATCCTGCCACTGGAACCCAGGATGTCTTTGGCTCATGAGCTCTATCATGGACCTCAGGATCAGCCTGCACCCCTGAAAGGCTCCCCTCTGGAGGAAACCTCAACTGCAGGGCCCCTTCTACACCCTATTTCAGCAGGAAGTAGTTAAAGAGGATCGACACCCATGTTCCAACAGAAGTTGGGATTTCCTGTTCAGATGGGGGTAATGAGGGCATGTGTTCTCTTTCCGGGTCCACAAGGGGGCGTACTTTTAAGGGCAAGAACTTCTGAGCACCATGCCCATCTCTCCATCCGGGAGATTTAACAGTTTATGTTTGAATTTTGCAGGCGCAGGAAGAAGCTAAGAGTCAATCACCCCAGCAGAAGTTCTAAGGAACTCCTTTCATTGGCCCGGGGTCTTAGAGAAGGTGGGGGTTCCTCCCAGGGTAAAAGTCCCCTTCTTTCACACCCCTTCAGACTCCATGTTTGAGTCCCCTTCCATGAACACTCCCTTTGAGGAAACCATCTTTCTCTCTCCTGGATTTTCCCTCTGAAGTCCCCTTCCACACTCTCATGGAAGCCTGCCTTCCCCTCCTAAACTCCATCTCTCTCTCTCTATTCCCTTCATTCAGTGTGGAAGCTGCTTTCCTCTCCTGGATTCCATCTTTCTGGATTCTCTCACTCAGCATGAGAGTCAGCTGTTTCCTTCTCTCTCCTTCTCCTGTTTCTCTCTCTAAATAAATCGCTTTCTACAAACACTTTTAAATCTGACATTTACTGCGCCCTGCGCCATGGTCCCCTTTCTCATTCTTGAGAGGGCAGGAAACCAAGAACCTGGAGAAACATTCTCTCAGAGGAACTGAGGGCACCCTGAACCCCAGTATTACAAAACCTTTTCCAGGGACCTTGCTGAAAATTGCCTACCTGAATTTCCTGCCAGTGCTCTTGCCCTGCCTATTGGAACACCCTAAACCCAGGCTGATCCTCTTTGGATTTGACTGCTGGACTGTACCACCTCCTATTGACTATTGTCACACCTCCAGGACCAGACTTCCTCCCTGCATCTGCATTTGGGTCTATTCTTCCAGAGATCAATTTCACCCCAAGGTTGGTTTGCATTCTAGATCTGGGATCTAGGCACCCCCCAGGCTACTCCAATCAGTAGTTGTTAATAACAGTTGGAGCCAGACTTTTCATGTTCTCATCCTTGTTCTGCCACTGCTACAGTTTGGATGTGGTTTGTTTGTCCCCACCAAAACTCATGTTGAAATTTCATGCCTAATGAGAAGGTACTTGGGGGTGGGCCTAGAGGAAGGTGTTTGAAGGAAAATTCCTCAAGTGGCTCCGCTCTGTTTTGCAGGAGTGAGCAAGGGACATGCCTCAGGGCCATGCCCTTGAACTTCTCAGCCACAGAACCATTACCTAAATAAACCTCTTTTCTTAAAAATTACCCAATCTCAAGGTTGTCTCTTGTAGCAACACAAAATGGACAAATACAGTAACTTTTAACCTCTTTGACCTTTGGTGAGTTCCTTAAACTCTCTGTGTCATTGTAAAATGAAGATAACAATAGTGTCTATCTCATAAAGTATTTTGTTTTGTTTTGTAAAGTGCTAAGACAGTGCCAGGCACATAGAAAGCATTCTATAAATGTTAACCATTATTATTATTTAGCATCTTGAAGGCTTCTCAATGTACAAACTAAAATGTGCTGTACCATTTTGAGTCCTGTGCAACCCTGATTGATGTCAATCCAGTTTCAAATTTGCATAAATAAATCATTTCAGAGAGAGAAAGAGATAGAGAACGTTTTTCTTAGGTACATTGGTACAACTTCTAAAGACCTTGCTAGTTTAATCCCAGACTGTGCTTACTTACTAACTCTGTTTTGGACTCTGAGGCTAGTTGGCTTGATTCTCATCTGTTTTCTCAGTCTTGGCTATTACCGTATTGGCTAGATGTTTCCTATTATTTGCTGCTGGGTCCTGTTACCAAGCTTTGCCTCCTAAAGTCAAGTTCCAAATACCAGGTCCTGGAGCTGAGCTGAGCTCAATCCCAGTCAGACAGATTGGAGTAGGCAGGAATTGGGGAACTACAGTGCTCATTTTTAGGTATTTTTGTTTGTGCCATTTGGTCCCTTCTTCATTTGCTTTCACAATAAGTTTATTTTCTTAATTGCCTTGTTACTGCCTGAAATAGGACCATCAATAAAGAACAGTGGTGTAGGGTTTTTTTCTGGAAAAGATGGAGGTGCTTTTGCTGGTCCAATTTGTTACTGTTGTTTTATTTTGTATTATACCTGTTCCCAAAGGCACACATTCAGTATTGTATTTAGGTTTTGTGAACACCGAATGGAGAGGTTTAATTAAGAACACTTTTCAGAAACAGCCTTGTAGCATAACACAGAGGTTCCATTGCCTCCTTCTCACTCACAGTGGTGATCCCCCAACCCCTCCTTTTATCACTTCATTATCTCAAGCCAAAAGTTGATTTGGTCAATTTCCTGTTTGAGTGTAAGCCAATCTCTTGAAGTTATTTCAGTATTGTGGCACTTAAAACACAAGGTTTCCCTGTTAAATTTCCACCATTTTAACACTTCATCTATTGTTTCTTTTTCTCCTAATGACAAGCACCAATGAATATTTTCAAGTCTACTACTTAATATAACCCCATGTGTTTTTGATACCCTAAACTCCACTAGTCTGTGTTGATAGTGACTAATCCTCAGAACTGTTAAAACATTCTGTGCAAATAGAGGTACATCAGAGGAATTTTTTTATGTGAATACTTTATTTAGGGAGCCACTTCTTTCCTGTATTTGCTTGTTCAAACTTTCCATTTCAACGTGTTTTGAAATACTGTCAAATGACATAAATCAGAGTTTCCTTTTTCAGTTTTATTAATCTAGTTTGATAAAATGGCACCAAAATTGTTGATTTAACATTCCCAAGTGTAGCTATCTTTGATATGAAAACACCTAACCTTTTGTCAGTTTCGGAGTTGTAAAGAAAAGTCATTTTGTTCAGTCTCCTTGCTTTATCCCTGGGGAAACTGAGTGTCAGAGGAGTTATGTGATTTGGTCAGGATCATGCATTTAGTTAGTGAGACAACGGTATTTTTTAGTTTGTATTTTTAATTATTATAAGTACATAATATTTCTATATATTTATGGGATATGTATAATGTTTTGATATCGGTGTATAATGTATAATGATCAAATCAGGAAAATTGGGGTGTCCATTATCTCAAACCTTGATTATTTCTTTGTGTTAGAAACATTCTAATTCCATTCTTTTAGTGATTTTAAAATACACAATAAATTGTGTAAGCTATAGTCACCTTATTGTACTGCCAAATACTAGATCTTATTCATTCAATCTAACTATATTTTTTACCCATTCACCATCTCCACTTTATCCTCCCCCACCACACTACTCTTCTCAGCCTCTGGCAACTATCATTCCATTCTCTATCTCTGTGAGTTCAACCTTGTTTTAGCTCCCACAGATAAGTAAGAACATATTTGTCTTTCTTTGCCTGTCTTATTTTACATAACATAATGTCCTCCAGTTCCATCGTGTTGTTGCAAGTGACAGGATTTCACTTTTTATGGCTAAATAATATTCCACTGTGTACATGTATCACATTTTCTTTATCCATTTAACCACTGACAGACACTTAGATTGCTTTTATATCTTGGCGATTGTGAATAGTACTATAATAAATATGGTAGTGGAACTATCGCTTTGAAATACTGACTTATTGGCTGGGCACAATGGCTCACACCTGTAATCCCAGCATTTTGGGAGGTCGAGGTGGGCAGATCATGAGGTCAAGAGATTGAGGCCATCCTAGCCAACCTGGTGAAACCCTGTCTCTACTAAACATACAAAAATAAGCTGGGCATGGTGGTATGCACCTGTAATCCCAGCTACTTGGGAGGCTGAGGCAGGAGAATTGCTTAAACCCAGGAGGTGGAGGCTGCAGTGACCTGAGATTGTTCCACTGCACTCCAACCTGGCAACAGAGCAACACTCTGTCATAAATAAATAAATAAATACTGATTTATTATCCTTTGGATATATGCCCAGAAGTAGAATTGCTAGATCATATGGTAATTCTATTTTGAGTTTTTTGAGGAACCTCTATACTGCTCTCCATAGTGGCTGTGCTAATTTACATTCCCACTAACAGTGGTAAGGATTCTCCTTTCTTCGCATCCTCACAGCATTTGTTATTGCCAGTCTTTTGGATATAAGCCATTTTAGCTGGAGTGAAATGGTACCTCAGTGTAGTTTTGATGTGCATTTCTCTGATGAATAGTGCTATTGCGTGTATTTTCATATATCTCTTGTCCATTTGTATATTGTCTTTTGAGAAATATCTAGTCAGATCTTCAGCTCATTTTAAAATTGGATTAATTTTTTTTTTCTCCTACTGAGGTTTTTGAGCTCCTAGTATATCCTGGTTATTGGCCCCTTGTCAGATGACCGGTCTGCAAATATTTTCTCCAATTCTGTGGACTGTCTCTTTACTTTCTTTTGCTCCCTTTGCTGTGCAGCTTTTTAGCCTGATATGATCCCATTTCTCCATTTCTCCTTTTGTTTCCTGTGCTATTGAAGTCTTACTCAAGAAATGTTTGCCCAGAGCAATGTCCTGGAGTGATCCCTGATGTTTTCTTGTAGTAGTTTTATAGTGCCAGGTCTTTATATTTAAGTTTCTAATCTATTTTGGTTTGATTTTTGTGTATGGTGAGACTTAAGGATCTAGTTTCATTCTTTGGCATGTGAATGTCCAGTTTTTCCAGCATTTTGACAATGATATTTTTGCTCCTCCATGCCATCTCCCTCAACATAAAACATGACAGTTTGTATACAAGTCTCTTTAATTCCCTTCCTCACTGATTTTATTTTGCAATTCAGGAAATTCAATTTTATTTAAGCATAATTTTCAAGCAGTAAAATTAACCAATTTTAAGTATATACTTTGATAATTCTTGATCAATGTGTACAGTTACATGGCCATCATCATAATTGAAATATGGAACATTTTCGTCACTCCAAAAAGTCCCCTCATGCCCCTTTTGCAGTCAATCCTCTTTCTCTATACCTTGACCCATGGTAGCCACTGTTCTGCCCTCTCTGAATTACATTTTGTCTTTTCCAGAATTAAAAAAAATAAAAAGATATCCTACAGTGTGTATTTTTTAATATCTGGCTTTTTCCCACCTACATTATATACATTGGTAGTTTGTTACTTTTTCTTATTAAGATCTTATTATATAAATATACTGTAACTTGTTTATCTATTCTCCAGCTGATAAAACTGGTTTTCAGTTTCTGACTATTATAAATGAAGGTGCTATAAACATTTATACAAGTCTTTATGTGGTCATATGCTTTCAATTCTCTTCAATAAAAACTTGGTGTGTAATTCCTGGGTTATGTATTAAGTATATGCTTATCTTTGTAAAAAAAGCGCCTCATTGTTTTTCAAATTGGTTGTAGCATTTTGCCCTCCCCCCAGCTGTGTATAAGAGTTCCAGTTGCTGTGCATTCTTGCCAACTCTAGGTATGGTCATTCTTTATTGATAATTTAGCCATTTTAAATGGTGTTTAGTAGTAGCCCATTGTGTTTTAAATTTCTCCATTGAATAATGACATTGGGCATAATGTCATGTGCATTTTTCCATCTGTTTTCTATGGGGAAATATTTATTCTAATCTTTTGCACATTTAACAAAATTGAGCAGTTTGCCTTCTTATTATTAAGATTCAATAACTCTTTCTGTATTCTGGATTTCAGTTCTTTATCCAATATATGATTTTAAAACATTTCCCCCCAGTCTGTGTTTTGACTTCTCATTTTCTCAACGTCCTTCAAAAAAAACAAAATACTTTAGTTTAGATGAAATCTAATTTATAAATTTTTCATTTATGATTTGTGATTTTTATATCCTAAGGAATCTTTGCTTAACTTAATGTCTCAAAAAGTTCTCTTATGTTTTCTTCTAGAATTTTTGTAGTTCTAGGTTTTATGTTTGTGTCTATGATCCATTTTGAGTTAACTTTTTTTTAGTGTGGTTTTGAGTCCATTTTGAACATTTACTCTTCTCATCACATCACTTCCCTCTGCTGATTCTGTCTTCTGCTTCATTTACTTCTTGGGTCAGTCTCTTCTTCTGATTATGCAACTTCCAGGTCACAGATGCTTTATACATATATCGCTGAGAGGTTGCTGTAGATGGTTTCTGAAAGTGGTCAAATTATTCTCCCTCCAAAAAGTTCATTGTAATTGGGGAGAGTGACTACAGCAAGATGGTGGAATGGGAATTTCCAATGCTATGGCATTATGAAGGCTATATATGAAAAGCCCACCACTAATATCATACTCAATGCTAAAAGCTGAAAGCCAAAAGCCTTTCCTATGAGACCAGGAACAAGATGAAGATGCTTACTCTTGCACTTCTATTTAGCATAGTACTGGAAGTCCTAGACAGAGCAATTAGGCAACATAGAGAAATAAAAGGCATCCAAATTGGAAAGAAAGAAGTAAAATTGTCTCTGTCTGCAGATGACATGATCTTAAATATAGAAAACTCTAAAGACTCCATCTGAAAACTCTTAGAACTGATAAATGAATTCAGTTAAGTTGCAGGATACAGAATCAACATACAAAAATTGTCTGTATTTTATTCACTAAAAACAAACTGTTTGAAAAAGAAATTAAGAAAAATTTATAATTGCATCAAAAGAATAAAATACTTAAGAATACATTTTTCCAAAGTGGTAAAAGATCTGTACACTGAAACTTTAAAACACTGATGGAAGAAATTAAGTAAGTAATTAACAATTTAAATTTAAAGTAATTAATTTAACAAGTAAATGAAAGATATTTTATGTTCATGGATTGGCAGAATTAATATTTAAAATGTTCATACTACTCCAGATCATCTACAGACTGAATCCAATCTTATCGACATTCCAGTGGCATTTTTCACAGAAAGAGAAAAACAATTCTGAAGTTCACACAGAACCACAAGAAGAGCAAAACTGCAGGAGTGACACATCCTGATCTCGAACTATACTAAAAAGCTACAGTAATCAAAACAGTATAGTACTGGCATAAAAACAGTATATATATATGTATATACCAATGGAACAGAAGAGAGACTCTAGAAATAAATCCACACACTTATTGTCAATTGATTGTTCACAAATTTACCAAGAATGGACAATGGGGAAATGATAATCTCTTCAACAAATGCAGTTGAAGCACTGGATATTAACATGCAGAAGAATGAATTAAACCCTTATCACATATAAAATTAAACTCCAAATGAATTAAAGACTTAAACATAACATCTGAAGCTTTAAAAGTACTAGAAGAAAACACAGGAAAATCTTTGTTACCTTGGTCTTGGCAATGCTTATTTGGTAATCACCCCAAAAGCACAGGAAACAAAAGCAAAAATAGACAAATGAAATTACATCCAACTAAAAACTTCTGCACAGAAATGAAAATCAATAGAATGAAAAATAGAATGGGAGAAAATAATTGCAAACCACGTGTCTAATAAGAGGTAAATATTCAAAACATTTAAGAAACTCAACTCAATAGGAAGAAAACATACCTAATTTGTTGAGGGATTTTTCATCATGGAAACATGTTGAGTTTTGTCAAATAATGCTTTTTCTGCATCTGTTAAGATGATCAAATGGTTTTATCCTCCTAGTAAAGTGGTACATTACATTTATTGATTTCAACATGTTGAACCATCCTTGCATCCCAGGGATAAATTGCGTTTGATTATGGTGTATGATCCTTTCAATGTGCTATTGCATTTAATTTGCTAGTATTTTGTTGAGAACTTTTGTACTAATGTAAATCAGGAATATGAACCTGAAATTTTTTTTCTGGTAGTGTTCTTGTTTAGCTTTGGTATCAGGGTAATGCTGGCCTGATAAAATGAGGAAGCTGAGGCAAAAGAATCACTTGAAACTAGGAGGCGGAGGTTGCAGTGAGCCGAGATTGTGCCACTGCATTCCAGTCTGGGCAACAGAGCAAGACTCCATCTTAAATAAATAAATATAAATAAAACTAATATAGCACTCAGCAACCTTAGGTGCTACTTATGAAAGCTGAAGCTTTAGGAATTCCATGCAGCCTTATCCCCTTGATCTTGTGCAGCATCTTTGTCCCTCAGTGGAAGACTAAACTGAAAAGAATGGGAACGCCCTTTAAGTAGACATAGAGATTTTGCAAAACACAGCCCAGGCATACCTTTCTTATCATAAGTAAAAAGAGAGAAGGCCAGGCATGGTCATTCA